AGGGAATTTTATACAATATTTAATAAAGTATAATGATGAGTCAGCACATGTGTATGTTGAGATAAATAATAATGAAATACATGGAGCAATGGATTATTCGATGGAATAAGTTGTTGTTTTTAGTTATTGGTGTTTTTAATTAATTTAATCACTATTTATATTGACCTATGAGTAATTGTGAATGTAGGATGGAGGATTTGTTACCATGGTCACTGCCAGGATCTCCTTATAGGTAAGAGCTTGAAAGTATATCACCCTCTTTACCATGTTCAACACAAAATGCTCTTGCACCACTGCATGAGGTTAATTCGGTAAAGTGGAAGGATTTATTTATGGGTGTTGGCTAGACATTTAATGGTGCAATTGTATTTAGAAAAGCACTATATAAATGCAGCCTTGCTCATAAGTTTGGTTACATATTTGTGAAAAACAGCCTTGAGAAGATGATTGTCAAATGCAATATTGATGGTTGTAAATGGAAGATATCAGCTTATGCTTTTAGGAAAACAACCTCTATATTGCGTGTGAAAAAATTTCACAACAAAAACATGCATTTTGCTCAAGACAACCTCCTATTAAAGAAAAAGGCTAGCTCAAAATTGACATCATCAATTATCATTGATAATGTCAGGGGGAATGTGAAGAAAACTTCAAATGAGATTAGACAAGACCTCTACAAAGAGTATGGGTTGAACCTCAAGTATCGGCAAGCTTTGAGGAGAAAAGATAGAGCATTGGAGGAAATACATGGGCTTCCACAACAATCATACATGTTGATCCTAAGGCTTTGTGAGAAATTAAAGGAAACGGACCCAGACATAGTTACAAAGTAGGTTGCCTCGACAAATTACAGATTTGATATATTTTTTATTGTATATGGATGCTACATCAAAGGGTTTCTCCAAGGTGCTCGTCCAATTTTGTTTATTGATGAAAGTCATTTAAGTAGTCCATATAAGGAGACTTTGCTAGCAGCTTCTGTAATTGATACAAATAATGACTTATTCCTTTTAGCTTACGCAATAGTAGGTGGAGAAACATGATAATTGGGCTTAGTTTCTTGAAAATGTAAGAGAGATCACACACCAAGTTCAATTGACCATAGTGTCAGACAGGCATAATGTTATTATTGGTATAGTGCATGCAATATTTGATGGTAATCGACATGCTTTTTGTTATCATCATGTTAAAGAAAATTACAACTCCGTATTTACAAAAATTAATAGAGGCATGTAAAGGATTGATGGGATGACTAAGGAAGATGCACTTAAATTATTGGATAATATTACATATGTAAGGTTGGAAATAGAATTTCATGTTGCTATGGGTCATTTGATGGTTTTCTCCCTATAGTTGGCAAGATGGTTAGAAACAAATGGGGATATAGATCGTTGCGCTTTAGTAAGATTTTCATACAAAAGATGGGATAACATAATAACAAACCATACTGAATCTTTCAATGCTTGGCTAATGAAAGAGAGAAAATATCATATATGTGCATTGATAAATGAGCACCAAGAAAAATTAACGAGGAAGCTATACAACAACAAGATAGAAATGACGAATTGGTCAAACAAAGTTGGACCTTGTGTTGAAGCAAAGTTGAGGGAGAATGTATTGAGGCTGAAACTATGGTGGTTGAACATTATAGTGTAAATATGATACTGGTGAAGGTAGGAAACAATAACTTGAGAGTGAATCTAACATTATGAAAATGCTCTTGTCAAAAATGGTAGATGATAGTAATTCCTTGTGCACATGCATGTGCAGCAATAAAATTAGTTCATGGTAATATATATTCATATGTTGAAGAATGCTACACTATCCATGCACAAGAAAAATCTATAACTCCACAATGATTCTGATGGAAACTATTGACATGCCTCAATTGACCGAGCTACATTATGAAGATTATGAAAACAATACCTTTTTGCAACCATCATTAACTGCACATCCCCAGGCAGCCACCCACCAAGTAAAAAGAATCACAGTTTCAGAACAAAAAGGTGTATCATTGCTTAAGATGTAATCAACCTGGACATACTAAGAATAAATGTAGGAATCTCAATCTAATGTAAGGATTGAAAGGGGGTGAAAACCATATGCATATTAATTGGTTTGAAATTGAAATGCACATGGTTTTTATTTATTTTGTGCATTTTACTGTTGAATGATATTTTGTATAGACACCAAACTCATATTTTTTGTACTTGTGGAGGTGAGAAGTTATGTAAATAGGATTGCAGTCTACGTTGTTTTTTGGTAAGAGACTGCATAGGTACCATTTAAGTAGATGAGATATTTTTGTGTAAAAAGGGATGTAAATATGGTGTACATGTATTGAAATCAGTGTAATATAATGCTGATGCATATTTCAGTTTTAAATATATACCAGTGTAAATTCTATCATGACATAAAACTACTAAATTCACCAACGTAGCATAAAGATATTGCTATTGTTACTACTGACAATATATAACCTCAGTTGGGGTTAAATTTTTCCATATTATTGCAGACATTTAAGAGACTTGTCAAATAATGGTATCCAGTAATGTTAATTGGGAATTTCATATTCGAACTAAGAAAAATTCCTACCATATATTGTGAAATGAATAAACCCCACTTAGGTATCATTGTTCATCAGAAGATACTTGTCAGAAATCAGGATCCAGTAACCTTACCAAAAATTCCTAACCTAAGTTGGAACAATAGCTAACGTATAATGTGAAAGTTCTTAACATCACTTGGGAAATCTTTGGTTAAGGGTAAGTCTTACCACAAATTAGGTTCCAACAATCTGACTTGGGAATTCCCTAACCTACCTTAGAAAAGTAATTAACTTATGTTGTGAACGTGCCGAAAGTGACTTAGGAATTCATTGTATAAGGATAAGTCTTGCCACAAGTTCAGTTCCAGCAAACTCACTTGGGAATATCCTAACCTAACTTGGGAAAAAGCTGAACGTAGGTTTTGAAAGAGTCTAATATGACTTGAGAATTCATTGTATAAAATAAGTCTTGCCACAACTTAGGTTCCAGCAACCTCACTTGGGATTTCTGTAACATAACTTGGGAAAGTAAGTAACGTGTGTTGTGAAAGTTCCTAACGTGACTTGGGAATGTATTCTTAGATGAAAACTCAAGTGGCACAAGTTTAGTTCTAGTAAACTCACTTGGGATTTCTATAACCTAACTAGCAAAAAGCAGAATGTTGGTTTTGAAAGCGCTTAACGTGACTTGGGAATTCTTGTGTAAGGATAAGTCACTTGGCACAAGTTGGGTTCTAGCAACCTCACTTGAGATTTCTGTAACATAACTTGGAAAAGTAACTAACGTATGTTATGAAAGTTTCTATCGTGACTTGGGAATGTATTCTTTGACGAAAACTCACATAGCACAAGTTGGGTTCCAGTAAACTCACTTAGAAATGTCCTAACCTAACTTGGGACAAAGCCTAACATCAATTTTGAAAGTGCCTAATATGACTTGGAAATTTATTGTGTAAGGATAAGCGTCGAACATAGGTTTTGAAAGTAACATGAGTCAATAAAAATCAAGAATGGTTTGTTAAATTTCTTATACATGTAGCCAAAGTTTTTTTGGATTAATTGTTGTATTATATACATGAAACCACAGGAAAATACTTAATTATATAAAGATGTAATTTACATATCACAATTGTCTATACTATGATTTCAACCTTTTGGATCCTGTGTACCCAGCATTTGAAATGGACGTCATGACTTGAGAGCCCACTCTGTTATGTGGATGATTCACTGGCCAATACAATACCTCACTCCTCATTTCACTCAGTTGTTCCTATACAATCAGATAAAGTCAACTGAAAAGACAGTAAATTGTCACACATAAAATTATATCTTAACTTTAACATTTGTTCCTACCATTGTTAATAAAGGCATAGTATGGCCACCCCATTCCTCTCGTGCAGTATTATTCCACTGTTTGAGGCAAAAGATGACATACATTCTATAATCAGATCTACAAAAAATGTAAAATCTGTCAGCACTTAGTTGGGAAATATACACATAATTACATGTACACAATTTTAGATGTTTTACTCATATCGTTGGTTGCTATTCCATAGGCACCACTTTTAATTCTAGGTCATAATTGTCATCAACAAGTTCAGGTTTCAGTTTCATTAATATTTCTATAAACTTGTTTTTCTAAGAATAATAACAAAGTGAATGAGAAGCTTTCACTGAAAAAATTTTATATGACATTATATGAGAAAATGCATACTATAAAGTATGCCATTTTTTTCTTTCTCTTTTAGTAACAGAGCTTCCTTTGCTTTCTTTATATTCTTTTTTTTTTCTTCTTTGATTCTTTATCAGGTGGTAGCATCGAGTCCAGTACATACATTGTGATTGTTTTTGGCTCCACAACATAGCAAAACTAATGCAATGCAAACACTATAAGGAAAAAAATGAAATCGCAATCTCCTTTATTATACCCGATGTTAGTTGGCATAAAGTCCTTCAAATGGCTATCCAAATCCCATCTTTTTTGTTGGTGAATTATGGTTCCCTAAAATGAAAAATTTAATACTTATAAGTTATAAGCACCTAATAAAATAAAGGAATTAAATCGTAAGACAAATTGTAAAATCTGGATAAAAATGTATCGCCGCACAACTTGATCCTTTTCTTTTTGCTCATTGACCAAAAGTCATCCAATTAATGTAACAACTTGCATAAAAAATAAAAGTTACATTAAAATTTTACTATAACTTGATCTATTTTAACTAGCATACTTTCTCACCGAACTACTAATCCATTATCTAGAATCTAGACACTTACATTTATATCTTGTCAAATAATACTTCTCAATCTCCACAATTTTCTTGTTAGAGAAAACAAAATTATATCAACCAATCGATTATAAACACATCAACTAGTAAGGTTGAATATCATACTCATATCCTTCATTTGGTTGAATAGACTTTGCACAGTATTGGTAAACTTCTTTCTCTATACATTATCCTCTTTCTTCACATCCTCTTTTTGCCTTCCCTCTATCATTCAAAAAGGGTGAATGAATAGTGCTGATTATTTGTCGTTGTGACCTTCTTAGTGTCATTTTACCCTTAGAATCTTGTTTTCTAATTTTCTTTTCTGCTTCTTTTTCTTGTACACCCGATTCTCCTTCCTCTTCATTTTCATCACCTTCTACTTGTCCATCCTCTTCTTCCTTTTTATCTTCTCTGGATTTCCCTTCCTCTTCATTTTCATCTCCTTCTGCTTGTCCTTCCTCGTCTTTCTTTTGATCTTCCCCAAATCCCCCTTCATCTTCCTTTTCATCTCCTATCAATTCTCCTTCCTCTTCTTTGTCTTCATGTCCCAACTCTTCCTCCTCTTCCTCTTCACTATTGTGGTTTTGAACAACTTCCTCTCCTCTTCTTTTACCTTAAAGCTTGAGGAGTCTTTATGCAATTCCACGTGTAAAGTTCACAAACATCTCTGTATACCTCTTTTATGTCCTACACCATATAAAATATCATATGTTTAAAATTACATAAAACATAAGTTTGCTAATTAACAACCATCATTTTTCCTTTACTGGATCATAAAATGAATTCATTTCTAGAAGCTCTACTGAGAAGCTGTCATGTCCTCGAGAAGGGTGATATAAAATGTCATGATCACTTGCCTTCTCAAGTTGAACTCGTGCTGTCACTCTCTCCTCTATCCAATATTCCAGAGTATCTTCTTGCGATGGCACCTCAATTGGCTCTAATGAAAACATTTGAAAGTAAAAAATTTGTATATTTACATCTATGTCATATAACCCATAGAATTTTGTTCAAAACAATTAACTTATAACAAATTATATCTTAATGCATCCACATACTGCAAGAAGAAATAAGCATCCTCCAATGGTTTTTTTATGCTCATCCTTCTTCTCTCATGCTTTATATTTGGCTACTTCCTTTCTAAGCTCAGATAGTATAAACGATGACCAATCATAACATACATTTCCCAAATTTAATCCAAACATGACCTTCAATAATTTATCACCTATCTTGGAACTCGAACTTGAACACAGAAAATTCTCTAAGTAATAGAGAATGAAAAGAAACTCAAATTTATCATTTTCTTTCTCTAAGAGTATCCTGTCCTTTGTTACATTATAGGATACTCTTTTAAAGTCCTTATTTAAGGATTTTAACTTATTCTTATTCCCATTCATATCAACCATCTCCCCATCATTAGGTAAGCCAAATAAGGCATGAACTGCTTTGCCATTGATGACTTTCCTTTGACCTCTAATTAAAAGGGATGATATAGGAGGATCAAATGCCTTCATCATTTCATTGCATAAATCTCTGGGCAACTTGTGACATTTAGTATTTAAAACTTACCAAAACCTATTCTATTAACCCTATCCCTCAAAGATTTTTGCTTTTTGATATAATCAAAAACTTTCTTCATCTTTGTTGAAAAACACCTTGTCTCAAATGAAATCTGTCCAAGAAAAACAAGTCAGCACCATTACTTGAATTCATCACATTTTTCATGCTTGAGGTTAAAAACAACATACCTCATAAGCTTTTACACCAGTGTTTTCCTCCTTAGCTAGACGCTTATAGTGATCTTGTTCTTCTGATGATAAAATTTTCCATGCTGTAATTGCTTTTGTGTTAAGTTTTTTCAAATCATTTCCTTAGGTTATATACTTGCCACGATACGCCTCTTTAAACTTGCTTAAGCCAGAACAACTTTATTGCCTTAAAGAATTTCCTTTTGTTTTAGCCATTGTCCTGCACACAAAGAATGAGGGTAAAAAACAAACTACTATTGAATATATCTAACGTCACTAGTTGATACACATAATAATACTATTGAATTTACCAAACATCAAATTTGAATTTTCTCCACAGAATTTCTTTATACAAAAGATATAAATGTCTTGCCTCCTATGGAAAATCTTGATTCACATTTCACTCTATTATACCAATTCTAATCAATTTATGTTGCTTAAGAGCAACAACCAAGCATGGCAATTATGCACCACGTACTAAATTCTTCAAAAGTTAGCCATTGTACTAAAAATTAAAAATGATAAGAAACAAGATATTTTAAGTTTATATAAATTCAAGATAAATAGTTATAAAGGGAGAATGTAAACAATAACCCACCCCCACACACACACCAACATATGAAAAAGGGAGAACTTTGGGTTGCTTACAAATGGCCCCTTGAACTTTCAAGGCTGGAATAGATCCCTTAACTTTGATGCTCAAGAAAAGAGGTCCTTCTGTCTAACTCACATTTAACATCATCACCTCATTTGGCACTTTTTATTATCATTTGGCAAGAAGGAATTGTAAAGGAGAAGATCAAGGAAGATGAAATAACTATCAACTTTCCTGGTATTTTGATTAATAATTAATGCTTGCCTGTGCTGAGCTTTTAGATTTTACTTATAGGGTGATACACCACGTGAAAAATGACCTAAGATGGGTAGTCGTACAAAAGAGGTGAAAGGGAAGGATAAGACATTAATGAGCATTGAGGGTGTGGAGCCAATAAATCCTAATGAATTGAGATTGCTTGATTTGGCAGAAAAAGAGAAAGTGTTTAACATTGGTAAGAACAGTAAGAATGAAACTAAAACGTATACACAAAGAATTGCAAGAACTAGTCTTCAGAAAGAAGGACCAACAGTGATTTTTGGTGTTTCTAAACCCGGGAAGAGAAGGAAATTTATGGAAGTTAGCAAACATTATGTTGCGGATAGGAGTGACAAGGTTAATGATGGAAATGATTCAGTTAAACTTGTAAATTTCTTGATGCCTTAAGGTCCAGCTTTTTGAGGATGGAAAAATGGTACCAAGAATGATACAAAGGAGAAATGAAGAGCCAATTCAAAAATGACAGTAAAGATAGAAGGACCTATTTCCTAAAGAGCAGAAGTCTAGAGACCTATTTTCTAGTTTTAAAAGTTCATAGGGCAATTTGTAGGTGAACCAAAGTAAAGGAGTGGGCTGCATTTTCCCTTATCAAATTCTACATATTAAAACATCACTCAACATCCCAAAATAAGCATCTCCTTCCTCAAGTCGTATACATTAGCAAGAAAATTATCAGTTACAAATGTTCATAAACATTAAGGCTTTTACACGAGAAGCATTTTATTTCAAAGGAGAATATCGAATCCCAACAAATGCCAACTACTAAAATTGAGCCAATTCTATTTACACGAGAAGCATTCCGTTTCAAAGGAACCCAAAACTTTACACTAGGAACATGAGCAAGATCTATTTTCCATTGCAATTTTCAGCCCAAAAAATTACTAATTTCTAGCAGAAACAAACAATCCAACAGCATCAGTCCAACTTCAGCTTTTTAAGCTGACATTTCTCACAGGCAAAGTTCTTCTTATACTTGCTAAAATTGAAAACCACAACATGTTACAAGTTTTAGACTTTATAGATGAAAATTCTCACCTTTCTAGTTGTGCGAAGTACAGGAGAGCTCAAATCCGAGCAATGGCAATTGGAGCTTTGACAGAGAATGCAACAGAACAACACAAAGGGTGCGACACAAATGAGACCAATACTAGAAAAGACCTCTCACCAACGATTGCACAATCCTGGAGCTAATATGGAGAACTTGACAAACGACAAAGAACACGAACGAGGTAGGACAAGAAGCAGCTCGAGGGAGACGCTAAAACAAAGCAAATAGGGCTCTGGTGTGTGCAAGTATATTTGTTTTTTCTCTCAAGGGCATTTTTGACAATTTACATTGTTTTTAATCCCAAATAAGACCATGGTCCTTAATTGAGATTTCTATATTCAAGGTCCCCAATTGGGATTAATGTTCTAAACCGGTCCTTAATTGTCATTTTTCCATTTTTATTTTTGGTAAATGAGCAAATTACTCATTGAACTCTAAGTCCAGTAGCACCATTGACTCTGAACTAATTTATTATACAAATGATTCTTTCAATTCTTGAAAATGATGTAATATGGCTCTTGCTGTTAACAAAAGTTAATTTTGACCATTAATTGATTACAAAATGAAAGAAAAGGAACTAAAAAATTACTAAAAAGGCCCAAAAAAAGTTCAGTCATTGTCTATAATTTTTTGTCCTTTGTTGTAATTTTGTCCATTTTCATAATTTTTGATGTCTTTTTCTATCATTCTCTAATCAACTAATGATCAAAATTAATTTTTGTTAACAATTGGGGCCAAATTGCATGATTTTCAAAAGTTAAGGTGATGATTTACACAATAAATTAACACGTTTTGGGCTTATAGTATTACTATATCTAAAGTTTAGAAGATAATTTGCTTATTTACCCTTTTTTTTGTTAGTTATAAGTGTTTAAGACTGATTAAAATTCTGGTAAAAAAAATAGACTGATTAATGTTAAACTTGACGTATCACACATTAATTTCACCAAGAAAACAAACTAGGGGCTTGTCTGGTTTTGTTCCTTTTTAGTTTTTTAAAAATTATTTTGTAAACCAATTTTTTAAAATTATTTTTTAAATTAAACAAAATAAAATAAAAATCTGTGTAATTATATTAATTTAAAAAAATTTAGGGCAGAAAAATGGTCGATATGAATGGTCTTCGGTGGCTATTGGTTAATTGATGATGATGGCCTATTGTGTTTAATCATAAATAAAGATAATTTACAATAGTCAAATATAATTTAAAAATTTCAAAAAGAAAAAAACAGCTTTAAGTTGTTATTATTTTTAAAAAATAAAAAAATTGAAAACATTTAAATCTAAGACGCTTATCTGAACAAATTTTTTATTGTTAAAAATAAAAAATATTTTTTAAAAACACAAATCAAATATATCCCATTATGTAGTTTTTTTTTTTTGACCGAGGACTTGTAATGTAGATAACAAAGCTTCAATATATTTAAAAACCCTGGTCAATTTTTTTTTATGTACTCTGTTTCATTTGATTAGTAATGTTTTTCAGTTCCCATTCAAAAAATACAAAGCCTCCAATTTGAGTATTAGGAATGCAAATAATAATATTAACGAGGACGACCGCGTCAACAGTTATCCACAAGTTATTTTTTGGGAGCACATTCAGTGCTCATCACCCTCTTGAACCAATCTAAACCATCCAAATTTAACTGCTTTTTTTAATTTTTTTAAAATAAAAATTTATAAAATTTTAAATAAATATATTTTATTATTAATATGTACTATTCATATTTAATCAGATAAATCTAAATTTATTAATTTTTTATAATCTTTATAAATTGATGATACAGATTTATTCTGAATTGTTTTGAATTTGATAGTATAACAAGTTAAAAATTTTGAATCTGAACAGTACAAACTAAATTGGTATGATCAATTTATAAAAATTACAAAAGATTAATATTAAATTTGAACTCATCTGATTAAATGTAAATGGTACATACTAATAATAAATATATTTATTTATAAATTTATAAATTTTTATTTTAAAAAAATAGTTTAATCTGGACTGTCCAGATTAAATTAATCTGGACGGTCCAGATTCTTCAGGGTCACCCCTGATGAGCACCTACTGTGCTCCGTTATATTTTAATATGTATTGGTTGTAAATAAGCTAAAAAAGCATGGTGTACAGTATAACGATACATAAAACAAGAAAAAGAAAATCGCTTCACTATAATATGAGTTGCATTTACAACCCAAAATATATACATACGTGCGTGTGTTTGTGTGAGTTACATTTAAAACTTAAATGCTTCGTTATACACTATGAGTTACATTTAAAACTTAAATGCTTCATTATAACAATTAAAATTTTTAAATTTATAATTGTTTAAATTGATATTTTTTATTCTTTTTTGGAAAAAAAAATTATCGATAATTTAACTATCATTTGTTTATTATTTTGTGAGAAAATATAATTATTGATCCCTAAAATTTTAATGTATTTTAATATAGATCTCTATACCTTTTTTCATTTTTCTAGATTCCTCTAGTTTTTCTCACCACAACATTAGTCTCTTTATTCTTTTAAATATGTTTAAAGGGATGATGTTATGGCACTAATAATATTAAATATGTTGACTTGTCACTTAGAGGCGGTAACCCAAATAAACACAAAAAGATTGAGGGCTCGGTTCAGTAAAATATTTTTTTTTAATATTTGGGCATATTTGAGCCAACTAAAAAAAATTTGAGTAGCCCAATCAAGTTCAGGTTTGGCCGGACAACAACAAGTATTATCTCATTGGCTTGAATACTTGAAGAAAAATTACTTTTTTAAAAACATATTAAACATTAATTAATCATTTAAGACCATATAGTTGAGTACATTATTATAAATGTTTTTAAAAAAATTAAAATTTTTTATATTTTCATTATTTTTAGTATATAAAATATCTCAAAAATATTCAAAATATACTTCTTTTATAAATAAAAAATTTAGATAAGTTAAGTTTCAAAAGCTTACTGGGATTAGAGCATGCCTCCATACTCAATTGAGTCTGGCCTGCCTGACTTATTAACTCTACCGTCACCAATGATTGTCAACGAGGATGTTAAAAAGAAAAAAAGCACATACAACAAAAGAAAAAATAACAAATAATTGTGTTTTCCAAATAACAAATAAATTCTTCAGACGCAAAGACGAACTTGGGAGAAGACTTGGTGACGATAGCTAGGGCAGCAGAGATCGCCGGCTAAGTGGGGGAGCCATTAATCGCAAGTTAGCGTCCATTATTTAGTTTTCATGAGTGAAAGCTTGTATGGTTAACACGTCACCTTCCTCTTCTCATGTGGGCATGGATACTCTCCTCTTTCTTTTCATCATCTTTCTCCTTTTTTCCCCCTTTTTCTAGTCACATTACGTCTTAGACGGTTTAAATGTGATTTATTATAAAATTATTATTAAAATATTAAATTATAAAAAATATAAATAATAAATTGAAATTGCTAAAATTTAATGAGAACAATTAAAAAATACAATAAAAGTAAAATGAAATGAAATATTTTGGAGGAGATTAAATCTAAATCAGCCAATGGTTAAAAATTAATTAAGAAGATGATGGAAAGGAAAATGAGAGAATCCTCTCTGCTGCTTCTGGACTGGGAGAGATCTCTAATTTTGTTGAGGAAAAAAAAATGAATCCACCTCTTCTTTGCCATTCAAGCCTCTCTCTGTTTTTTTTGTTTTTTTCCAATCTGATAAAAACATGTCGCCTCTCGAGATTTTAACAACATCCTCATTAGCACCATTAATGACAAGTCAACATATTTAACACCACTAATGCCACATCATTGTCCCTCCAAGCATGTTTAAAAATAAAGAGACTAGGAGGATATCCAACAGGGAATATGAGCCCTCGTCATCTAGCTTCCTCACGACCATACAAATAAAGGGACTAATACTATGAAAAGGAAAAACTAGGGGCACTTTGAATAACAAAAAAAATTATAACGACCTATAACAAAACACGTTAAGATTATTGGGATCAATAATTATGTTTTTCCATACTTTAGACATACTTGTCATTCTCTCTTAAATAATGTTTGTACCTCTTTTTAACCCCATATTTTTTCAGTTAAATAAAATCAATTTTCTATAAATGGGTCTCCATGCATTACATAGAATTTAATTACATAGAATTTAAAGAATCGCCAAATTTGGATTGGGTGAGATCAAATCACACCCAGTAATTTTCCCCACTAATTCAGATTAAGTTGTTCCATATATAAGACTAGAATTTGAGATCTTGCTCACGGATACAAATCTCAAACTAATTGGACCAATTGTTATGGCTGACTTACCAATATTGCATGTATATTGATACTAATATTAAAAATTAAAAATATCATATATGCATGAAGCTGTTGAGACACAACAACTACCCTCCGTTTAAAAATATAAAGCATTTTTAATAGAATCACACCCCCAATAAAGTAGTTACTTACTTTCAAACTCACACTATCTTTTCATATTTACCCTTATTAAATGCCCTACAATAAATATAAAGTTACTAGGGGTGCTTTTGAAAAAAAGGTAATGATTTCACTTTGAAAAACTAAAAATGCCTTACATTTTAACATCCAACTTCTCAAAAAATGCCTTATATTTTTGAACAGAGGGAGTACAATTTAAAATATATTGAATGCATTAGTTGTAACATAATGTGTCAAATGTATGACTAGAAATCTTAATGATACTTTGAAATAAGGTACTAAAAATTAGATTGATCATGGAACAAATCGAAATAGTGATTCAAGAGTTAGTAGTCTAACTAAGGTCAAATCAATTATGATTAAAATAATATAATTTAATTAAAATATATAAAATTATTCATATTCGTCTATGAAAAAAAAAGTAATATTTAAATAAAAAAAGTCATTAACTCTTAAGTAAATGGAATATTCATCCATAAAATCTTATACATATCCTATACAAATATTAATTAAAAATTTCTGAAAACTAAAACACAATAGCATAAAAATATTAAGGGATTCAGATTTAATTTAGGGTTGATCACAATTTAGAAGGGGGAAGGAAGAAAAGAAAAGAAAAGAAAAAATAATAATAATAAAATCCAGCCCAGGTCAACTCACTGAGCTCGCTGGTTGACCAAGTTTTCTCGAGTTGAAACTTAGTCTTTTAAAATAATACTCGTGAGTTCAAACAAACTTTCTTCCTGATCATGACAAGACTTCGAAAAAGCCACGCCCTCTTTCATTATTCTACTAATAGAGATCAACATCAATTACATTACTTATCAAATTCACAGGAACTATTAAAAGGTCTTTCTTTTATGCTTCCACCGGTACAAATAACTTGCTAAAACACTCTCTAATAATATGTAATTGCAAAAGTAAGGGTTAAAGTAAAGAACTATAATTACACCCAGAAAAAAGACCCCAAATGCTCCAGCAAAAGTCCACAAGAAGATATTTTGGAAGTCCTCATCTTCTGAATGATGAGGTTGCTTGTTTCCCCTTAATAGTTTGTCAATAGACGAGCAATTTTTCTGTAGAGGTGGGCCACAAAGAAAAGGGTTCCCTTCATAACTATTTGGTTCAAAAGTTGAAAATTGATTTTTCATGTCAGGTATCCTTCCAGATAGATTATTATGAGCCACAGAAAAGATAGACAAGAAGTAAAGTTGCGTTAATTGTGCAGGAATGTGGCCTGTTGATTTGTTGTGTGAAAGATCTAGGCTTTCTATTTGCTTAAGGTTGGAAAATGAAACTGGAATGGGTCCTTTCAAATCATTCTTTGACAGATTTAAAGTGTGGATAGTGCTTAAATATCCAATTTGTGAAGGGATTTCACCTGTCAATTGATTTCCTGAGAGATCCAGTCCTGACATGAAATTCAAAATATTTCCTTTGTAAGATTCATGCCTGCTTTTGGTTGTAAAATCGACTTCTTGATCTCTAGACAATGTAATAATTTCCTTGCTTTCACTTAAACTAACTTTATAAGGTGGAGCGTTCAATGTATATCTTAAGCCTCTTGTCGTCCAGGACACATTAAAATTTCCTATATTGGTTTCTCTAGGTGCATTCTTCTTTCCAAATGCGACGTTATTCAAGCAATAGGGTATCCTTCCAGAAAGCTTATTTTGAGAAAGATCAAGTATGTTTATCTTCTTGAGCTCACATAAATCAATAGGAATAGAACCATTAAATTTGTTTTCTTTTAAGATGAGGACCCTTAAATTCAAAAGCAAGCTAAACAATCTTGGAACTTGACCTGAAAAATTGTTGTTCGTGAAGTCCAAGGTCAATAAGGAGGAGTTGGCCAAAGTAGAAGGTATAGGTCCTGTGAATTGGTTGCTTTGCAAATGCAAATACTTCAACAACGGCATATTGAGACAACTTGGCAAAGAGCCATTGAATTTATTTTTAGAAAGCTCTAGATAAGTCAGTCTAGTTAAGTTGCAAAAGCTTTTTGGTAGTGAACCTGTGAAAGAATTCTTGGACAAAATGAGGTAACTCATATGTTGAAAATTTCCAATCCAACTAGGTATTTCACCTGATAGTTGGTTGGCGCTTAAATCCAACATTCTCAATTCAGTACTATTTATAATCCCAGTTGGAACAAACCTCAACTCAGTGCTAGCACGACCGAATTCTTGGGGCAAGTAACCCGATAAATTATTGTGTGACAAGTCAAGATCATTCAATTGTGTCATTTCACCTATTGAAGCTGGGAAGCTACCTCGCAGTGAACATGAAGACATGTCCAGAGAAATCAAGTTGGGAAAAAAGGAGCCAATGTGAGAAGGCACTTCATCTTCAATGGGATTTGAGGAAACATTGAAAAATTGCATTTGAAGCAATTTTGAGGTGGAATTGAGCTCAAATGGACCAGTGAACAAATTGTTGGCCAGACTGAAATAATTTAATTCTGTGTTATTTGTCAAAAGCCAAGATGGGAAAATTCCTGTCATGCTTAAGTGGCTAAGTTGTAGACTTAGCAAGTCATATTGATGAAGAAGAAAGGTAGGCATTTTGTTGTTGTTTGCTACCAGAGTGCAGTTGTGGATGCGTAAAACCCTCAATTGGAAGGAAGGGATAAATGGGGGATTCTCAGTTTCAAGCTTGAGATTTGCATTATAGCATTCCATACGAAAGATTTGGAGGTTGGAGTGGTTGGCAAGCAAAGAGAGTGAGAATGAGCCATTGAAATTGTCGTCAGACAGAGAAAATAAGACTAGGGATCTTAAAGCCTGAAATAGCGAGGAAGGAAAGGTTCCTTCAAAACCATTATTTCGAAGAGCAAGTATATGTAGAGACGTCAAATTGCCGATGCATGCAGGAAGTTGCCCCTCAAATTTATTGGAGTTAAGATCCAATGCTGCAAGATTCTTCATATCGCACAAGCCTCCTGTAATATCCAATTTTTATTTGTTAAACTTATTTAATCAGTTCTGCAGTAAAATGAAATTATAAAACTTGAACTAATAGCTTAAAGGTTTAAACTTTGAGCTCAATTCATTTTTTTAAGAAATGAGAGTCCATGTTTAACAAATGAATTTTAATTAACAGTTGGGTCCCAAAAAACAAAGCCGTCAGACCATAAGCCCAAATATGCATATGATGAACTAACAGAATATATTTGAAAGCAGGAGAATCATGTTCTAAAACGTAAATAAATAATTAAGAATGCATGGAGAAAAACAAGGAAAGTGATGAAATTTGCAATTTGATAGTATTGTAATTTAGCCTATGTATGAAAATGGAACCGACACTAGATGTGCCAATACAGCTCGATTTTATTATTCTTTTTTAATCCTTATTGCCAAGGTTGTGTGTATTATTGACCACGTTTTAAACTAAAATTTTCATCAACAAGAATGTGATAGATTGTAAATAAATTTTTGGATAAGGAACATTTCTGCCCTCAAAACTTTTCTTGTAAAATATCCAGGTGTCCTGAAGTTGATTTAGTCATTTTTATCCCTAATCGTCTGAATTCACTTGCCTTGATAACATTAACGCACCTTAAAGGTTGTGTTTTCCGTTTTGCAGGCCCCTCACCATTTTGCACCAGTGGCTGACAACTTATTCCCCTCTCACTCTCCCTCCTTCTTCCTCTCCCCTCTCTCCTCCCCACTTTCTCATCTCGCCCTCTCTCTTCTGTAAATATCACTGATAACTTCCCTTCTCTCTTCTCATCGTCCTCTCTCTCCTCTACTAAATATCCTGCCCGAAAATGCACCGAAGCATAGGCATTTCGGCCATGCACATGCAAGTGATGACGAAGAACAAGGTGAGAGAGAGAACCTGAAACGAAGCATAGACCATGCGGCATGAAACGAAGCACGCCACCAGGAGAATCAAACAAGTATAAAGAGTGAGCGCCTATTCATAGGGGAGCATATGAAGATTGAGACCCAGAAAAAAGGATTAAGCTTGAGAATCGAGCAATAGAGCAGGGATATAGAGTAAGATGGCGCTGGCCCGAAAAAGAGGTTTAGAGAAGCGAGTGATGGAACGAATGCGACATAGAGTGGGCGTACTGACTCACAGTGTTCATGTTATAGAGAGTACAATAGAAAGCAGCGTGGTGTGCGCTAATCTTAACTGTGTGGACTAGGCAAAGCCACGAGAGGAGGCTTGAATTCACACACAGAGACACATCACATAGGGTGGATACAACGTAGAGAACCTGTAATAAATACACCATACCAGAATTCAATTAACCAAATTTGCGTCCCCATAGAGTTTGCGGGCGAAGGAGTCAACGGCGATAAAGGAGCACCATGTGTCGGTCTGGATGGTGAGGGGGCGGAGGGAGATGGAAGAAACGTCGTGTAGGATGGAATGTGTGGTGCAGTCGACTTTCAGAGCCATTTCACGATGGTTGAAGCCGCAACGACTGTTTGGTAGAGAGATGTTGGAGGGGCCAAAGTTGGTCCGGTCGAATATGACCATCTTGTTGATGCTTCGGTGCATTTTTTTCGTAGGGTCATTTTTATTTATCTGTGGGGGGGGGGTGGGAGAGAGAGGATGATGAGGAGAGAGAGGACGATGACAAATTGGGGAGGAGAGAGAGGGGAGAGTGAGAGGAAAAGATGAGGTGTTAGCCACTTGTGCAAAATAGTGGGGCCCACAGAAGGAGAAAACGGAAACATTGACTCATTGAGGTGCATTTATGTTGAAAACTTGAAATGAATAGGCTAGGTGATTTCAAACGTTTAGGTATAAAAATATCTCAAAATTATTCAGTTCAGGGTAATGAAAAGTTCAACAAAAATGACGTTCTAATTTCATTTCTATGTAATCTAATCTTAATGGTGGAACACTCAATTAATGGATTATTTTTACTGCAGATGGTATAAATTTATGCGTACCTCGTTGTGGTAGTGAGCCATTCAAGTTATTATCTTCTAAAAACAAATCAGCGAGGGAAGTAAGAGACGTTATAGATTCTGGAAGAGTGCCCTCCAAGGAATTCGAAGAAAGGTCCAGCATCTTCAAATTGCGTGAATGAGAAAGATCTGTCAAATGCCATAATGAAAATGTACAATAAGCAAGTTGCTCCTTTAATTAGAAGCTTTTGAATGGATCATTTATGTGAATAAAATGCCCTATAACCTTAATGAATAGTGCTACTTCCATTACCTATTGTTTTATATTTTTGTCAAAAGTTTTTTATCATTTATCTCTTTAGTCAGTTTCCATCATAAATTAAGTAAAACCTTACGTCAACTTACATTTAACTCTTAAGTATTCTAAAAAATCCTTAAAAGTTTGACTGATCTTTCAATTCTTTGAATAAAGAAACACGGCAAATCCATGAGTTTATTAGTATCAATTAACTTCTGGACGAAATCAAGGGAAAATATAAGAAAAGCGTTTTAAGGATCTGATAGAGAAAAGTTCTGCTGTCTTTATATTTCTTGTGATATATCTTTTTTTTTAAGAATCTCTATAACCCATCTCTGTCGAAATAGAAATAAATTTGATGCATGATTCCGTAATAAAAAGATGCCATTTAAAAGGAAGATAAAAACCAATCACCAAAAGATGGGGCTTCCTTGAGCTCATTAACTGAGAAAGACAAATCTTCCAAATTGTCGAGCCTAATATCCCCAAACAGCCCTGCTCCACAAACAACATGCATGTGATCAATTACTTTACTGAATATTTACTGCAAGGATCGATTAAAAATGACATGTAAATCTCGTGAACTAGATCCTCTGGTTAAATACATGTGGGTGAATGATAAAATAGTTGAAGGAAAGAGTGAACCTGACAAGTAATTCCCAGACAAATCTAAAATTTGAAGTTGGTGGAAAGGAAGGAAATAAGAAACATTAAGTGACCATTTGATGTGTCCCAACTCTTCAGCTCTGGTGCCACTCAGATCAAGCTCTATCACTCTGTGAGTAGAGTTGTCACAGTGAACACGCTCCCAAGTGCAGCAATCAGAATGATTGGTAACGTTATTCCAAGAAGGAAGAGAAGATCCATGTGGGTGATTGAAGGCTTCTTTCAGCTTCACAAGAGCTTCTCTCTCTTCTTCCAAGCACCCCTCTCCTCCTCCATTAAATCCTAATAATATCATTATCACTACTACCACCACCCACCACCCACCACGCTTGTTCTCTCACTAAATATCCCATTTTTCAGTATATATGCTTCGTTATTTGTGTGTGTCTTCAATTGCGTTCTTGTTCATCTATTTATAACGGCGATGAGGAAATTTCATTTTTGCTATTCCAAAATATCTTATTCGTGGAGAAAAGGTAGATGATAATCGTTTGTCTGTTCTATATTACATCGGACGGTCTGGAATGGTCACACAGAAATTTTTTGTATCCAGACTCATATTCTTGGAGTAATTAACACGATGAAAATTAATTTTGGAGGATTTGTCCACCTTAGCCGTAATTTCGATTTTCCGTAAGTTCTTAAATGTTTATCTTTTTGAACCAATCAGGAAAAATACTTAAAATATGAAAATGCCAACATATGCTGGTCCAAAACTTTTAGTAGACCGAATTGTAGTCACTTAAACACAAAATCTTTTATATTTAAGTCTGTGTAAGTATGGAAAACATTTTTCGAAGATTTGCTCCTATTTAGACTCAATAAAGTTCGAATATGGTATAGTATTATTGAATATTAGATAGATATATAAAAAATACATAAAATAAGATGGCCTTTGAAAATAAATAAAATATAATAAAAAAAGAGAGTATAATACAGTGACCTTCTTTCCATTTTGCTAAAATTACAGAGATCTCCTCTTTAGTTTTAAAACCTACACTTTAATCCAATATTTAACCTCAATAGGAATATTCTGTTAAAAACTCTAAAATACTTAATTTTTTATTTATAATTATGTTAAAAACTTTAAAATTATTAATTTTCCCTAATCGTCTAATTGTCTACTCTCTCTCCAAATTTAAAAAAATTTAAATAATTAATTATATCAATATTTAAATAAATAATTTAAAATTTTTATGTTAAAATCATTGAAATTTAAATACAAATAAATGTAAATTATATTGAGTAATTTATTATATTAAATTCTTATTTCATAAATGTATTTAATTGTGTGTTTGAATATTATTTTAACCAATTTATGGATTTAATTTTTTTATAAAATTACTAAAGAAATACATTTACATAACTAAAAAATTAAAATATAAATAAAAAATTAAAAAAATATTAGCATTAAGTTTTTGGGTAATTTTATGATTTTTAAATAATATTTATCTTTAAATAAAGATATGTTAATTCAACATATGTGACTTGACATTCAACTAATGATTGAATAAATGAGAATAAAATCTTAAAAATAAAGAAAACGTTTGTATTTTGTTACTACTCATACTAGAGAAGATACATATAAGTTTTCAAAATAAAAGAGAAATATATGTAATTAAGATAAAATAGAGGCATTAAAGTATTTTACTATAATAAAAATGAAAGAAAACATATGAAACTAAGAGATCAACATAGCTTGAAAAATGGCGTGAAGATAAGGCGCTTGTTTTCTATTTTTAAAAATAAAAAAAATTTATTAGTTAAGTGTTTTGAATTTAAATGTTTACATAACTATTCCCTCTCTTCAAAAATATAAGATATTTTTAATTAAATATTACTTTTAATAAAATAATTACCTACTTACAACTAACCCTATCATTTTATATTTACCCTTATGAAACACCTTATACAATAAATATAAATTTATTATCAATAAAGGCACTTTAAACAAAGTAATGATTATACCTCGAAAGATTAAAAATACTTTATATTTTTTAATATCCAACTTTTTAAAAAATACTTTATATTTTCGAACGGAGGAAATATTTATTTTCTTTTTTGTTAAAGCTCAATCCATTTAACTATTGTAAATTATATTTAGCTAGAATAAACTACTATAGGCCATCATTATTAACCACTGAAAATTAGTATAATCAAACAGATTTTCATTTTCTTTATTTGGAAAAGTAATTTTTACAAATTTATTTACATAATAGTTTTGGGGGGGAAAAAAGAAGTGATCAAATCCAGACAAGCCTTAAATATTCCTTACCCGAAGGACACGATTCTGTTGGACTTGACCTATTCATGATCTTGACAGTTGATAAAAATGTTCTCCGCACAAGTTTCACTTTATTAATTTCTCATCAATGCTATTCAAAATCAGCGCAAGTGCTTTTGACTTATCAACACGATCAACGACTTTATAGTAGACGAGACAATGATGCCAGAAGTAAACTACACGTCTAAAGTCTTCCATGCGTTTGCCTATAAATTTTATGTTATGATTTAGTCCCTTATAAAATTGGAAAGATACAGATAGGATTAGTATGGCTCCTGCATAAAGATGACACGCACAAAGCCATAAATATTATGGTTAATTAAGATAATAACTAGTTGCATTAATATTAAACTAAATCAAATTTTCATTGAACTTGATGTCCTGTTTGTGCTTTGGTTTACATCAAACCTAAATGAGTGGCCCAAATCTAGGCTAGAGTGTTTAAAGCTCATTGGAAGAACAAAAACTAGTCCATTCTGCTCGCAACGTAAGAAAGCAACAAAGATCAGGCACAGCTCCTAAAAAATAAAGACGAATCTTTGATGTGCTCACCCAAAACAGCAACCTTATTTCTTCATCTTCAATCCTTTGAGCCATGCTTGAGATACTTATGTCATTTGCAGATCTATTCTTCGGTCAACTCCAAATCCTCCTCGAATAAAAAACATGTTTAAGATTTATTAATTTAATGTTTTATAATTTCTTAAATAATACTTAATTTTATACAGACTATTTTTAAAAAAATTAATTTAAATTTTATTATTTTTTACTATTTTTAAAAAAATTAATTTAAATTTTATTATTTTTTTCTTAAGAAGATCAAATTAGACTATTTTTTAAATAATTATTAGTTTTAAAAAATTGATTTATTTTAGATTTTTTAAGTCTACCTTTTGAAAAAATGTAATTTAAAGTTTATGATTCTTTTTCTTAAAATATCAAATGGATTACAAAAATATACTTCTTCCATCCCAAATTATAAGATACTTTTAGACAAAATCTTACATATCAATAAAACTCATTAAATACACTTTACAACCTTACTTTTTCAAGATAAAAATATAAAGTTTCAAAAATACCCTTCATTTAATACTCTATTGATGAAAGAATATTGAAGAAAGAGAATATATGAAAAGGGTAATATTGAAAAAGAATTATTAATGAAACCTTATTTTTATAAAAGTGTTTTATATTTTGGGACATTGAATTTTTTTAAAAAGTTTCCTATAATTTGAAATGGAGGGAGTATATTATAAAATTCATATCTTTTTGTTGTCATTATATGTCTAAGTTAACATTTCAATCAAATCACCTAAATAAATTTTAATTTGTCGAATTAAATTTTAAAAAAGGATTAATATATAATTTGAACCTCGAACTATAGATTCAGGAGAGATTTGAACTTTAAACTTTTAAAAGATATATTCTGAACCCTAGACAATTAAAGTTGAAGCAATTTTACTCCACTATTAAATTTAAACAAACATCCATCAATTTTTTTAAAAAATGAAGTCTAATATGTGATTGTCCTCAAATGAGAGTAGAAGAGAAAGGAAGAGTAAAATTGGATAAAAATCTCACATTAGGCCCCAATTTAAAAAAAATAATAGATGTTTGTTTAAATTTAATCACTAAGGATGAAATTATCCAACTTTAATTGTTTAAGGTTCAGAATATATCTTTTAAAAGTTTATGGTTTAAATCGTCCCTAAACCTATCGTTCAAGATTCAAATTGCATATTAAACTTTTTAAAAAAAAATTAATATAAATCACATTACATTCATATACTTTTATATTAACTTTAGTTTGCAAGCCTCAATTCATTCTAACCTTAGTTGTGGAATTTTTTAATTCAAACACATCCTAAATCTTCTCTCAAATGTTCCAGTTCATAACTGGCGTAGATTTGCAGTCGTTCACTTGGTCTCATGACTCTCAACTGTTCCTTACCCCAAAATTCACGATGGATCGTAATAACCTCTTAATTTCTCATCCTGACAGTTGCTAATGTTCCCCCAACAAGTTTTTTGTTTTTTTTTTTACAACAGACAAGTTTTATTTTCATATCACAACTATATATTGAAAATCAGTGCATGTGCTTTTGATGCGTTCTTGCACATTCAAACAAACAATGACCCGTCAAAGGGACCCTGTGCGAAGTCAGACTTGATGGTTCCATGGTTGCCGGAAAGTAAACTACACGTCTAAAGCCTTCCATACGTTATCTATAAATTAAATGCTGTGGTTAATTGGGGTAATAACTTGGTGCACTAATATTAAACTAAACCAAATTTTCGTTGAACTTGATTAATTACCCAACGATTCCAATGCGCCAAGAATAATACAACAAAAAGTCAGAAAATAGGTTAACATAACTAATCTGGCTGATAAAAATTTTACGTATAATTTACAAATCGTGGGTTCAAATTTTGTTACTAATGTCAGACCTTATTAGTAAACAATTCTCCCTGGATCACAATATATTATAAAAAAATTAAGTAAAACCTTTATTTCTTAAAACATTGTATATCTTTTCAATTATATCTCATTAAGTATCTTATATAAGTCCCATAATAATCGGATAAACATATCATAATAATAAAAATTGAAATTTCAACAATCATTTTTTCCGAAAGAATGATAAAAGAAGTAGGGGTATTATTAGAAAAGCAATTATAAAAATAACCTAATGTCCTATATTTTGAATTAAGTTATACTTTTAGAAGATATCTTATATTGTAGTCCTAAGGGAGAGTGTCCTATGTTGTAGTCCTAATAAGCATTCTTTAAACTAGAATTATAATCTTGGTAAAACCAAAGATATAGCTCACCTAATAAACTTTTTTTCTAAATAAAAAAAAAGTAAGAAAAATAACTAAATAAGTGATGCCTTGAAATGGGAACGATTGGAATCTAAGTTGTTCATCGAATCCACTTCGAAAATGTTGATTGTGGAATTTTTTTTTTTAAGGATTGTTCATTGGTTTTATTCTCTTTGTTCATTCTGGGT